AGCATCGGGAATGTGCTCCCGGATGTATTGATTTGGTGAGTACGTTCTAGTTGAAGATTGTTCTTAAACCTATCTCGATTGCATTTTCGAGGGGACGTCCGAAGAGCTTTGAGATTTAGGCGTTGTTGCTTTTGCGGGCAGACGAGTTGGTCGCCGGTAAGGGCCAGTAAGTGCTGCCAACAGATGAATCAAGAGGTATTCCAAACAAAATTGGTAAGAAATGTCCATTCAAATCGATTTAATACAGTTGAACAAATTTCAAAACTATATACGTGCCAGATTTGGAAATAATATTTTTTAAATCTGGAAGTGTGTTTATGATACCATTATCCATTTGATAAAGGTAGAGTGAACATGCGGGGCTTATTGTAAGTAAAAGTGACCTCGGAGTGGTCGTGAATTACCAGGCATTCTGAAATGGGTCACTGGAGCTGCAATAGAGCTAACACCTTCTAACTCCCGGACTAAACCTGCTTTAATTGGTAATAAAAAGCAGTTTTCTTCCATAATAACACTGCCGGACAGTGGGGGTTAGATTGTACACACACACACACACACACATTTTTTCAATCATGTGAATGATTCATTTTTTTAGCAAAGCAGCTGTTTCAAAACGTGATTTCATATGATACAGCCATATTTGTGAAAGGAATAATACAAAATAGAAGAATTTAAGGTGAAATATTAGTGATGCGCATATTGCCTCGAATGGACTTAAGTAATATTTTGTTAAGAAAATCTTTAATTTTTATTAAAATCTAGAAAAATATCGTGTCATATACGAGACCAATGACCATTTATAAAGCTACTGAAGGAATATCAACGATCAGTTATAAGAAACTACTGATAGGCCCTATTTTTTAATTCAGAAATCTAACAGTTTTGACATTTTGAGCTAGTCTAACATTTTTCGAATATTTGGTCTAGAGGAAAGTATTTTGTTAGACTGTAATGGATAGTTGAAGTAGGCCTGCAACAGATTGTTTGTAAAATCATTCCTAAATCTCATTAATTGAGTCTCCTTGCGAGAATAAACTCGCTTGCGAATGTGGCAAACAAAATTCACGCTTGAGATTCTCATGCATATTCACGCACTTACACTCACAACGTCGAAAAATCATTCCAACATTAAACTCATAAAAAACCACTTAAACGTCGTTAGTTTTCCAACCCCTGATGCACAAACAATAGTAATAACAATAAATAACCTAAGTGGAGGTTTGTCGGCCACACACTCCGAAGAGGTGAAAATGAATTCTGCAAGCAAGCGCTGTATTGGAACCCGGTAGGACATTGCAGCAGAGGCAGATCCAGGGGCTCATGGTGGCGGAGCCTCTCAACATGAAAATCATACAAGTTGATCTGGGCCTAGGTTAAAGCTAAAGCAAGCAGCCACCCAGGATCGAAGTTTTTCCCGTTGACTTGCACCACTGGGTGTGCCCAGGGTACTGAAATAAGTAAATATCAAATTTGTTCGTTAATTTTGAAAAAATATATCGGTTACTAAACATCATCTGAAGGGGTATCGTTTTCTGAGCACAACGATATTTTTTCGATCTAATTTACTTACATCTCGATTTTTAAATCAAGATTAAAGCAAAATAACCACTTCACTGTTAGACACAAAACTAACAAATTGGGTTGTTTAACTTCGAAAAATATACGTGAATTTTTATACATCATCTGATAGAGCTTCGTTTTCTGAGCACAACGATATCGATCGCGTAGACATTCATTTTTAAATCAAGATTAAAATTTTTGATCGTTGACACTAAATCTTTTCGTTGACAGCTCGCTCCCATACAAAGTCCCACCAGGCGCTAAGATGGTATTTTTTGCTATTGATGAATTTACGTTACGGTTGGCCAGCAGATGGAAATGATGTGAAAATGATAATGACGTTTTGCTAGCTGTCAAATCGTATGGAATATTTTTTAGTACATCCTCACTTTTGTGGTTTTAGATTTCAAACCTAGGTGTAGCATGCACTGGTGCAGTTTCGCGTAGATTCATCAATACCATTTGCTCTACAATACGTTAACTATTCAGCTCTACCTGCTCAACCTAAAAGACCGAGAGAATATCTGCAGCTCTAAACGCCCTCAGAATAATTCATAACCAACGTTGTAATTATTATTTTTTTTTCCTTTGGTTTGTTTTTCCGTCGATCTTGTTTTCCGTGCTGAGCACCAATGCTACCGACGTGCCAGGAAGGCAGCTCCCACACCTGGACCCTACCTATCGACCCATCAACTCATGAACCGGGGACCAACGGCTTTACTTCCCATCCGAAGGAAGGCGTGATCAGCGATGTTATGAACATCCCGGCGGCGCCGACTGAGAGGTAATCACGCTTACCACTACACCACCGGCGCCGTTTAACGTTGTTATTATAACCAACTTAATACTAAGTCTTCAGAATAATGTCATACCAACGCAATATGATGAAAAAATATCTGATGGTTTAAAGGTCTTTAAAATAATTCCTGATAAACCTGATATAATGTGGGAATATGTGAAGGATTTACTAAAAACTGAAAAAAAATATCTGAAGGACTTTGTTTAAATCTTTGATCAGTTGTAGGTCTTCTGAATAATTCATAATCAACCGAATATAATAAGAAAATATTTGAAAGTTCGAATACCTTCAGAATAATTCCTGATTATTGTACTACAATCTGTGTTTGTTTTGATTCGCCTTAACGGGGGCAACAATCACGAACTTTGGCGGAGTTCCCATCAATGTGATGAATATAGTGGGTGAGGATGACTGCAACAGGCTACTCTTTCTAGCATTCCGCACTGCGATCCAAGTGTGAAAGAGTAAGCTGTTTTGTCACACCTCCGGCAGTTTTACCGCTGTCATTTTGCCCAAAAATGTCAAAATCATGTGAGTCTATATGTGGTTGACAGGGATAGAGCCCCCCTGTTCGCCTTATAAAGTTGACAGAGTTTAAGGTGATTTCTTGAAGAGTCCAAAGATGGCCGTCATGATGGGGGATATGCCCTAGCACTTCAAGTTTTCTTGGACACTGTTGCGACACCGCTCATGAAATTGGAACTTCCTGTTTGTGGCACTGCAGCCTAGACTGCAGCAAACGTTAAGCTCCAGTTTCCTTGTTGCATGTACATATCGTGAGAGCTGATATTTTGTACTCTTGAAATTGCGAGGTCATATGTTTGGCACTTTCTGAGCCAAAGATTGAGCATGTTTCTTCAGGACCCCCTGGTCTTAGTGTTAGTCTATGGAAATATTATGATATTTTCTCAATACACTCAATTCTGTTTCCACGCGATTTTTTTTTTTCGCCTCTCAGGTGATATTATGTCTTGTGTTTGTGAGTTATGTCCTCACAGAGCTTTACAGGTCACAGCTTTGAACTTCTGGACGGTTGGGTGAACTTAATAATTCAATTATCCTAAATGATGCGAAGCTTTACGGATGCGTACAGCATATCGAAACATCGTGTAAGACTTGATTGCGTCTATAGAACTTCATGATCAGAACTCCAGGCACTTAAATAATTTAAAATGTTATACTGACACAAATTATGTCACACGTGATGTGATACGCTCCCACGAAGCGCTACAGATTCGTATAAGTCAGGACGCTCCACTATGTTGACGCTGTTGAACTTCAAGGTCTAAACTCCAGGAAAATTTAGAGAACCCGAAATAATTTGACATTACAAGTATACATCCTACATAATACTGAGGCTCCAAGAAACTCTACGAGTTCATAATTTCATTTTGACATCGTACAATAAATACCTGGTTGAATCCATGGGATTGCAAGATCTGAAGTATAGGCAAATGTTCTTCCAGAATTTGTAGGTTGTGTGGCAAATACTCTATTCCCAGGGCAGTCGAGAAAATTATCAACCCGGAAGATGTTCTAGATCAGGCCGCATATTTATACTGTGCCTTAACGGACTAAACTGTTCTTATCGACCGTTAATGTTCACCAAACAGAACATTATAAACATAAACCCCACTTTTTGACTGTTGCAATTTATTCCATCAAGTTATTCCATAGTACAATTATGTCTACTGATATTTGTTATCAAACATTAATCGATTATTTTGATCAATTCAGTCGACTTGTAAACAAAACTTCAAACTTGGCATGTCAGCTAAAATGACAGAACGTCATTATGAGTAACTTATTGTTGTAAGCAACTTAACTGTTATCAAGTTTTACGATAGGTACTTGTACAATATGTTGACATACACGACTACCTATAAAAATATCTACCCTACTTAAATTGGTTAAGTCGTCTCCGAGAAAGTTACAACGTCACATACAAATCAGATACCTACAAACACTCACATTTTTTTTTTTAGTTCGCCGAGCTGTATGAATTGAAATTGCTCACTAATTTATATTACCAATAAACCGATATTTTTTTCTGAAAAAACAACCATCTGAACACCGCTCTAAAAAAAACCTCATACCTACTCGTTTTCCTACAGCTGGACGATCCCAATAATTCTTTTTGGTATACAGCGAATACCTAATACCCGTTCTTCGTTCCAGCTGATTCTCTTTTTTGATTATCGTTCACCCCCTGCGGCCATAGTTGCTACACATAGGTAGCTCACTGGCTGATAACAATTACCATTTAGTGCAATGAGGAAAAAGAAACATGTCTACCATTCTCCTTACGAAGTCAGTATTTCAGACAGGTTCTCGAACACTAGCATCTTCTACTACATGGGTAGCAAAAGTTGCTGACCTCCAAAATCCTGCTGGCTCATATTGAGACTTTACCTATATTACTCTATCTGACTGTGGGTACTGGTCATCGCCACTTTTGATCTTGAGAATTTATTGTACATTTTGCATTTTGCTTCCCGTCACCATCATCGTCATCGTCACACTTTACAGTTCACTCACAACGCAAATAAAATTTTCACTTTCAAAGTTCCACCCAGCTGAAAAATGACAAAATAGCACTCGTCGCGGGTCGAAAGTTATCGTAATTTATATGAAAATTCACCTTACGGGGTCGCACCACGGTTTGGTAGCACTATTTTCGCGAAACGAAGCAAAATTTAATCCACACGGGGTAAAATCTTTTGCGATCGAAAACTTTTCGCCACTCACTCGAAAGCTACACGCACGGTAATGAATGACGAAGCGGAGCGCAACGACCAACGAGTGTATAGGAAAAAACACTGTTCAAGAATATTTTGACAGTCGAGAGGAGCTCATTGTTGATTAGCTCCCAACCTCACAACCACCAACAACAGCGCGAATATGTACTGTGCAGCTGTATTATCGCTCTTTGTTTTGGATCCTGGCTTGGTTTTATGTTTATCCTACCCCTCTCGCACACAAACACAGTTATAATTTGACGTTCACTACCTCACCCACTAGACTGAGCATAGAAAGACAGCATAAAATTGTACAAAAGGGAAGTTTGTAATGACATGAAATGTTTCGGAAACATTTCGCTTCGTTTCCGGTGCAAGACCGAACAGTAACCCCTCCTCGAAGTATAGTAACGCTGTTTTGTATGTGATTATAGCATAGAGGTAACTCTAATAGCGAATTCGTTTATTATTCAGTTCCAACCTGGATCGGGTATCAAGATTGGGTCTGCTTGTTTTCTGACAAACGTCAGTTTGCTCGTTTGTTTTTAAAACCTAGCTCAGGTTGAGGTTCACACTGACAAAAAGTTCGGTTTCGCACTGGGTTGGAACTGGTGTTAACCCCGATAATAAACGAATTCGCTATAAGACTAGAAGGTCCCGAAGTAACGTGCTCAACTTTTTGGCTCAGCTCTGGTACTCTCTTCGGTCCCAAGCTAGTCGATTCACCCCTCGAAACATAGGAAAATCCAATAACCCCTCATTTTATCTGTCAAAATTTCATAGCGAATCAAAACAAACATTGCGTAGTACTAGAATTTCGACTAGAATAGGGTACGTTAATCGTTTGCTTGGGACCAATAGGCTACTAAAGTGGTGAGCCAATTTAAAATCGTTAGTTTCGTATTGATTGTTGATTATAGCACAAACGAAGTGACAAACGACTAACTGGCGAAGAAATCCATTTAAATAATGTGGTTCACTGTAATAGAATTTTCTTGGAAGCTTGTGCCATCATCCACCAGATGGGTTAGTTTTTTTGTTTTGATTTGAACAAAGTTGATTTTGTGTACAATGATTCTTTGACAGCGTGCAAAGAGTGCGTATCATTTTGTAATTTTTTTATGCATTTCAGTTTTGAGTAGAGTGAAAGAGATAGAACCAAAACATTCTAGTACATTTGGCGAAAATGCTAGTTCAATCCAGTAGTAGTGTCATAGAGGTAACTCTAAGACCACTGGGTCCCGAAGAAAATCATTATTATTTTTGGCTCACTCAGTACCAGAACAACGGTCCCAAGCAGACCCAAGCTATTTCACTCACCCCTGCATGTTCTGCATGAAACCACACACCCCTGATGTTATCTGTCAAACTTTCATAGCGAATCAAAACAAACATAGTGTAGTAATAGAATTTCAACTAGAATAGGGTACGTTAATCGTTTGCTTGGGACCAATAGGCTACTAAAGTGGAGAGCCAATTTAAAATCGTTAGTTTCGTACTGATTGTTGGTAGTGTTGCCATGTGGTTCAATCCAGTAGTAGTGGTGTTGCCATGTGGTACACTGAAAAATTGCAATAGCAGGTTAGTCACCAAAGTTTTCGAGCCGCTCCGTCTGTCACTTCGTTTGTGATTATAGTGTCAACAATAAACTAGTCCATAACCATTTCAGTTAAAGTTTAGGAGGGATTATAAACAATTTTTAACCATTTTCGGAAAGGTCAAGTTATGGTTCATGTTTATGTGGGGAACCACATCGGTTGCAAACGAGGAACCAAATAATTCATTTATAAATATTTTTAGTCGTATTTTTCGAGTCAAACCCGAATTTCGGTTAAAATAGGATACATTTGACAGATTCAGATAGGAATGAAAGCTGAACCGAAAAGAACAGTAATGCAGCGACACAGACATTATAATATGTATTTTATTATTAGGCATATAGACATTCATTGAGCTGTGTAGGATGTCAGGAAACTATCTAGTAGTGCAAAATTTTTATAGAGATTCAGCTAACTTTGAATAAGCTCAGTGAACCAACAATCAATACGAAACTAACGATTTTAAATTGGCTCACCACTTTAGTAGCCTATTGGTCCCAAGCAAACGATTAACGTACCCTATTCTAGTTGAAATTCTATTACTACACTATGTTTGTTTTGATTCACTATGAAAGTTTGACAGATAACATCAGGGGTGTGTGGATTCATGCAGAACATGCAGGGGTGAGTGAAATAGCTTGGGACTGCTTGGGACCGTTGTTCTGGTACTGAGTGAGCCAAAAATAATAATGATTTTCTTCGGGACCCAGTGGTCTTAGAGTTACCTCTATGAGTGAACTGAGCGTAATCGAACAGTAACCTACCTTTTTGTGGTGCGTTACTGGCATTAAGATCTACCACCGAAGCTTAGTCCGAACTTCTTCAAACTAGGAGAACATGATTGTTTTTTGTAATCCTCGGATTGCGTTTTTTCTGTCGACATCTTGGGGGATGATGATATAGGGATCGGCATCAGAAACGATGGAGTGACGTTGATTGTGGAGCTCCTCCGGTTTCGAGGTTTTAGTTACGAAACGAAAATAAATTATTTTATTTATGTGTTTCACTTATACATTTTTGCCAAAACATCAGACTTATACCAACAATCAATACGAAACTAACGATTTTAAATTGGCTCACTACTTTACTAGCCTATTGGTCCCAAGCAAATCGATTAACGTATCCCATTCTAGTCGAAATTCTAGTACTACACAATGTTTGTTTTGATTAGCTATGAAAATTTGACAGATAAAATGAGAGGTTAGTGGATTTTCCTATGTTTCGAGGGGTGAATCGATTAGCTTGGGACCGAAGATAGTACCAGAGCTGAGCCAAAAAGTTGAGCACGTTATTTCGGGACCTTCTAGTCTTAGAGTTACCTCTATGCTTATACTTTCCATAAGACAAACCACATAGGTCCTACAAGAATACATAAAAGGTATGTGTGACCGCTTATACATTTCACATAATCTTCATTAACTTTTTGCAAGGCGTCTGCTTATTAGTTAATTAATAAATTTTATGAATAATCAGCTATAGAAATTTGCCAAAAGGTATAAGGAGATTTCTATCCGTGTATGTTTCTAGAATAAACATTTATATTTTTGATTTATATGAACAAAATTCGTTTCCGTGTACATACTAACCCAGTCAGTAAGGTTTTATAGGGTTTTATGATGAGTGTATAATGAGTCACGCCAAGAGAAAAACAGTTGAACTCGCATCACGGTTTTCAAAACATTCCCTTTCTTTTCACTTGGCAACAGAGGACTTCTACACCAACATCAAATGACTTCTAGCGAGAAAAAAATAGCGGCTGTAGTAAATCATTATATCAGTGATTTTGTCAAATTATCTTATCAAAAATAGTAGAAATTCTTATTACTGATCATTACCAAACGTATCCCATGACAATGTAATGCTCACTGCGTGTTGATGATCATTTCTTCGATTATATTTTTTATTTTATTGCAATACCTTTTGTTGACTTTTTACAGCACCGTAATGTTTGCTTACTTTGCACGATAGGTAGCCGGTTTGACAGTTCAATTGGCGTTGACGGCGACTATGTAGCTCTTTACTCCTAGGGATGGTCCATTAATTATGTCACGCAAATTTGGCCCATTTTCAACCCCCCCTCCACCCTGTGTCACATTTTTTGTATGGACCTTAATTTTTTTTGTATGGCTCGTCACAGTTTGGGTGACATAATTAATGGACGACCCCCTATGAGAAAATCCATAAGCAAACGTCAGACTGTGCGTGAAACATGGCGGACTTTGTACTATCCTTTCACTCCACCGAAAATTCCCATAAGAAACGTAAGAAACTGTCTATATTTGGTGGAAGAGCAAATTTGTCGACGGTGCCGTCAACGCCAATAGGTAGACTTGGCTTCACTCTTGGCGTGACTCATTATACACCGACTCTAGGTTTTACCACAAACGAAGTGACAGACGACTAACTGGCGAAGAAAAAATCAATTAAATAATGTAATAGAATTTTCTTAGAAGCTTGTACCATAGAGGTAACTCTAAGACCACTGGGTCCCGAAGAAAATCATTATTATTTTTGGCTCACTCAGTACCAGAACAACGGTCCCAAGTAGTCCCAAGCTATTTCACTCACCCCTGCATGTTCTGCATGAATCCACACACCCCTGATGTTATCTGTCAAACTTTAATAGCGAATCAAAACAAACATAGTGTAGTAATAGAATTTCAACTAGAATAGGGTACGTTAATCGTTTGCTTGGGACCAATAGGCTACTAAAGTGGTGAGCCAATTTAAAATCGTTAGTTTCGTATTGATTGTTGCTTGTACCATCAGCCACCAGATGGGCTAGTATTTTTGTTTTTATTTGAACAAAGTTGATTTTGTGTGCGAAGGATCTTTGACAGTGTGCAAAGAGTGTAACATTTTGTAATTTTTTATGCATTTCAGTTTTGAGTAGGGTGGAAGAGATAGAACTAAAACATTCTAGTACATTTGGTGAAAATGCTAGTACAATCCAGTAGTAGCAACAATCAATACGAAACTAACGATTTTAAATTGGCTCACCACTTTAGTAGCCTATTGGTCCCAAGCAAACGATTAACGTACCCTATTCTAGTTGAAATTCTATTACTACACTATGTTTGTTTTGATTCACTATGAAAGTTTGACAGATAACATCAGGGGTGTGTGGATTCATGCAGAACATGCAGGGGTGAGTGAAATAGCTTGGGACTGCTTGGGACCGTTGTTCTGGTACTGAGTGAGCCAAAAATAATAATGATTTTCTTCGGGACCCAGTGGTCTTAGAGTTACCTCTATGGTAGTAGTGTTGCCATGTGGTACAATCCAGTAGTAGTGGTGTTGCCATGTGGTACACTGAAAAATTGCAATAGCAGGATCGTCACCAAAGTTTTTGAGCCGCTCCGTCTGTCACTTCGTTTGTGGTTTTAAGGTTTTACCAACAATCAATACGAAACTAACGATTTTAAATTGGCTCACTACTCGACTAGCCTATTG